GCCTGAGTTTTTTTTTTTTTTTTTTTTTTTTTAATTTTATTTTATTTTAATGTAAAGGGCAACGACGTTGAGATATTATCATTGAGCTGGTATGATGAACAGATGCACTCGTAGGACGATGTACAAGCATACGAAGATCAAGTCATTACAACAAGCTCGACGTAAACAAGTCGGAAAAGTAGTCAAGTATATTGCAAATAACAACATCAGACATTGCTCCCCGACGCGTTTCGACTGCCGCCGCGCAGTCATCCTCAGGTGGAGCAACTGGGCTTGGCTCGTTGGTGCCGAGTTTTTTTTTTGGAGTTGTGTGTATAGCGATCATGACGGCACAGACGCATTCGGGAAAAACAAAAAAAAAACAAAGAAAAAACAAAGGAAAAACAAAGGAAAAACAAAGAAAAAACAAAGAAAAAACAAAGAAAAAACAAAGAAAAAACAAAGAAAAAACTAAAACAACTGAGGTGGAGTCAAAAAATGAGGACCATACACACTCGGGAAAAAAAAAGAAAAAAGAAAAAAGAAAAAAAAAAAGAACAGAAACATCTGACGTGTAGTCAAATGAGACCCAACAGGCCAGTTGGTCTTCTACTGGCTGTTTGCTCCTTTTTTTCTTTTTTTGGTTATGCCGTAATGTGGCAATTGAACCCCTGGAATACTTAAAGGTGGGGTTACACAACTGAACATGGAAGAGGGATTCAAAGTCAGGTCTGATACCAACTGGCCTAGCTCAGTTTGTTTGTACACCCATGAACTGTTGAAACACAGGCCTATGTTCCAATCCCGATGATGCGATTCGAACGAATCATTCTGAATTACCACATTCTGAATTACCATGAGCCTCACAGTAATTTAGACTATGGTAATTCAAAGTCAGGTCTGATTCCAACTGGCTGGTCAGTTCAGAAGATGATATCTGCTACCAGCTGCAGCCTGGTCCTGTTGGGTTTCTGCATGTCAGTGACGAAAGCAGCAAAAGGTTTTTTTTTGTTGTTGTTTTTGTTTTTCCCAGTTCCAGGTTCTGCAGTACGGTCTAGAAACCAGAATCCAAAAACCAAAGGCTTTCTTGTTCTGCACTTGCCCTAAAACAAAAAAACAGAAACCACAACTTCAGACTTCTGGTCTTTGATTAAAAAAAAAAAAAAAAAAAAAAAAAGACTTCTGGTCTTTGATCCAGTTGCAGGTCTCTGGTTTGTGGTCCGGTTCCGGTTTCTGCCTGTCGATGAGGAAAGCAGCCGTGTTTTTTTGGGTAGCCTAACGTGCCCAAGTTTGTCTCATGTGGCTTGGCTTTCTTTATCAGGCTCATAAGTCAGCGTTTATCCAAGCATATACCGCTACTGATAGATAAGGCGGCCTTTCTTATCGTAAGAGCAACAAGGTGCAACGATGGTGCTTCAACTCTTCGTTAAGGTAATTCCACCTAAACAGCAGAATATAAACTCAGTATTATTTACTTGTTATGTCATTTACAATAGCTTGAATATCTAAATGTGTTCCTCAAACCAATCACAAACCTTAGTATGATGTAAAGTTTCCTAAATGCTAAATAGGTTCTCCTTCACCAGCACCATATATGATAAGTTGTTGTCATATGGTTCAAGTGGTATTGCAATTAGTTTCATTTCTTTGATAAATAGAAAAAGCCAATTCAAGTAAGAGAACCGAAGGCTGCAGTACAATGATAAGGTATGTATCCCATTCTTCTCCATTCCGCGGACATGCCTTGTTTATGCATCTTTCTGATCTTTGTGCCTCGTCCTTAATGCACGAAGCGCAAGTGCCCTACCTGTTTGCTTGCTTTTAGTTAATCAATAATAATCCAGACAATGCCCCCAAAGAACTCTCTCATTTGCGTCACGGCATCCTCACTCAAGTCAGGCGGACAGCACAGTAAGCAAGGGCAAGGAGAAGGGCAAGGCAATTCCTGAATCTGCCCCACAGCGACAGTCTCGTCTCGTCAACTTGAGCTGCAGCAGGAATAGACGGTGTTTCGATGGATTGAGCAGGGGCAGGTAACAGGGGCAAAAAGCTTACGAGCAGTATTGGGTCTGCTGCAGGTTGTGTAAGACGGTGTTCACTACGTCGTCAACAACGAGAGAAGTGGCTCCCTCAAGAAAGGGAAGCCATGTACAGACAACACAGGCGAGGTTGTCCACATGCTTTCCTTGGATGAGGCCAAGATCGAGGGGAATGGGGCAAACACGATCCGTATGCGTACACAGGGTGGAGAAAGGCAAACCAGAAAACAAGGGGAGGGTGGGGCTGAATGGGGTGGGAGAGAAGCGCTAGAGGAGGAGGTGGAGGTACGTCTTCGGCCACCTCCAGTGTCAAGGACAGCGAGGAGCTCCGACAGCGGTTTGGAGTGCTGCAGGGCAAACAGCAGTTGCCACTGGCCAAGATCGAGGGGAATGGGGCAAACATGATGCCGTATGCGTACACAGGGTGGAGAAAGGCAAACCAGATAACAAGGGGATGGTGGTGCTGAATGGGGTGGGAGAGAGTAGTGCTAGAGGAGGAGGTGGAGGCACATCTTCGGCCACCTCCAGTATCAGGGAGAGCGAGGAGCTCCGACAGCGGTTTGGAGTGCTGCGGGGCATACTTCTTTGGAACGAGATGGGGAGGAGACGGAGGGCGTTCAAACCGGAGTTGCCACTGGCCTTTCTTCTTGCGAGGCCTCCACCACCGCTACGAGGGAGGTCGGTCAAGACAATGCAAGCCCCTATCCTCCTTAGGTCACCTTAGGTCAGTTGAACACACTGTACAGAAGAGACTGGAGTGGGAAGACCTTTGTACAGGTCAGTGGTGCCCTTCAAAACTTCGTGTGGGAAGACGAGACGAACGCTCTCCGGGACTTCTTGTATATCCAGTTGCGGGCAATGAAGTCCAAAGTATAGATGCCATCGTTTGAGGTTGTCGGGATTATTGTTGTGTGTGGACATGACCTACGATCAGGTTAAGGAGTCCAGAACACCCATAATGTATATAATAAGTGGGATATGCAAAGTTGCATGCCCATCATGGATGACCGTACAAACAAGAATTTCAAGCCTATCCTTGACCTCGTTGCTGCATGGGATGAGATGATGACAAGAGACAGACGGGAAGAAACTTGTCATGGTGCTCGAAAAGACTCTAAGAGGAAATGATTGGACAGATCAAAGTGCAGAGGGTGAATGTCATCTTCAGATTCTTCACTGACAATGCCAGCGCATCAACAAGAGGGGCTTAGAGGGCTGCGATAATTTTGCAGTGCTGGACTGATCCGGGCATTGCAAAGATAACATGGATCCCATGTGTAGCACACACTCTAAGCCTCCTCCCTCAAGGGCATCGTCAACCTTGACTGGATGGTACCGGTCAGGAGGAAGGCGAAAACTATGGTGAACTGCCTACAGAACAACCACGACACGGTCGGTCTGTGCTGTAGATCGCCGATCGCCCTATGATTGATCACACCCTATGATTAACAACAACAACAAGACCCTCATTCCGTAGACAAAGGTGTGATTTGCATCCCTGTAGCAGATGTTGGAGGGCCTGGATGACAGGAGGTGGAGACTTGAGAATGTGAAGAAGACTGGATGGAGGGAGATCCATTGGAGCAGCAGGGCGATGTGAGAAAAAAAGGCAGACATCTACCATAGGGTCAGATGGACCAAATGGTGGGGCAAGGTCAAGATTTTTCGGTTCATATTTTCAATTTTTTTAAATATTTTTTTTGGTCAATAAGGGGGGTAAAACGAGATGTTCTGCACGATGGACTTGGATTGAACAACACCTGTGCAGTTGTGTGGGCTCGGTGACATGCTTTTTTTTTTTTTTTTTTTTTTTTTTGGGCTCAGTGAAATGTGTCACAACCCTTTGAACAACATCTACCACCTCACACAATGGAGCAGCTAACGGAGACTTTCAGGTATGCGGACGACCATTGCAATATGGTGCCCCCAGCTTGCCCACTTCCGCCTCTCTCCCTCTAGACGGGACCCTAGAATGGCTGGGAGACTTCAGAAAATTGCAACAAGGGGGGTGACTTGCTTGGTTAAGGGAAATTATCCACCGGAGCCATAGCGAAAGCAAGTCTTTTTAGGGCTATTGTCACTGTCTATGGACCCGAACCCGGGTGATCCAACCATGGCCAGGATGGAGCTTGGGTAAAACTAAGTGGAGAATGTGAAGCATTGCAACATACCCGCCCAGAGAAATGGCTCCTCCCTTGACTTGCTTACACAAGGAGGAACAAAGTTCAAACAAACTCTCCAGCTCCAAGTTGCTGTACGATCACTGGAATATGCATCTCCCAATGGCGTAGCAGGGTTTAATTTTGAAGTGTGGCCGTGTGGATCCGTGGGTCACATTCTGTGATAATCCAGGGAACCCATCTTAGAACACCCAACAGTATTGCCAAGGCCCTTAGAGGAGACAGACAGAGGAGAAGGAGGCAAGGCAGGCAAGACTACCAGAGGAAAGCCCCAAAAAAGAGGACTCTGAAGGGTGGACTGCGATGGCACCGCCAACTCCGAGAGAAGCGATGAGGATCTCATCTGGAGTGCAAAAAGGACAAAATGCAGAAAGGAGGACGCAACCAGCACGTTATCGACCGGCTGAAGTGATCTGCCTTTCCCAGTGTCTAGCTTCCTGTTCCACCCAACGTCGGTCACGCGCTGGGAAAGCCCCAAACACTGATGTTTGACCTCGTCTTTCCTCTCCCCTTTTATTTTATTATTATGGCTTCGAATCAGTTGTGTGTGTCACCAGTCAGGGAGGACTTCCCGATTACTGTCTTAGTAGTTTTTCGCAGATTATGAAACCAGAATCGTCATAAAAGAAAACTGGAATCAGTCAACAAAAATATCGGATTGACTGTTTGAGGGGGGGGAAAGCGCGCCCCTCTCGTTTCCTCTTCCCCCTTGTCTCTACTCGTGTCTCCCATTTCTCTCCCCTCTTATCCTCCTTCCTCCTTCCTCCTCCTCCTCCTCCTCCTCCTCCTCCTTGCTAATGGGGTCTGAAAAGCTTGGATTATGGTTCTGGCTTTTTATGCCTTTGCTGCCTCTTGCCTGTCCTCCTCTTGTCCTCCTCTTCCTTCCTCATGGTTCTGAAAAGCGTGCAGCGTTTCCTAACTTGTGCATTTTCTTTCTCTTGCCGTTCCTCCTCTTTTGCCTCCTTCTCTTGTTGTTGTTGTTGTTGTCGTTGCACGTGGCCATCTGTCCCAATCTGTTGCTGAGTATTTGTTCTGCTTTCATGGTCACGAACGTCCTGAAGGACAGGCAGGTTTGCAGAATGTTGCAGCCAGAGTAAACCGATCACTTGGATGGTGGCACTCTCTTTCTCGGCGATGAATAGCAAAGAAGTGATCGTCCGGAAACGTATTGTCGAGATATACAACAAGCAACAGGAAGATTTCGGGACATTGCGAGAATACAACGACTACTTAGAGGAAGTCGAGGACATCATATTTGCACTTGTAGAGGGGCACGATGTCGAGGCAGTCGAGGCGAAGATTGCGAAGTACAAGGAGGAGAACTATGAGCAGATTGTTATGGCCCAAGCCAGAAAGGCAGAAGAAAGAGCGGCGCAGCTGAGGGAGTAAAGTGCTCTACTTCCAGGCGTGGGAAGAGGAGCCGGGCTAATAACTGTCGATTCGAATGCAGAGGCGACTGGATTAGCACACAATGGTATGGGGGATACAAACAAGCCAGGCGCTATGCAGTACATGCCGTCAGTTCCAGGCGCCATGCTGATGCAGCAGAGGGGGCCCATCATGGTACAGCCCGTTCTTGCAGGAGGGGGAGGAGATCCAGAGGACCCTGCAGTGGCAAGGGAGAGGGAGATCAGGGCTATAAGAGCAGGCGGATTCACGCCCGAGTTTGGACGCAAAAGAGCCCTGGAGGAGGCATTTTCGAGTCTTTTCCTCACACGTGTTCATCAGGAGAGAGAGAGAGAGAGAGAGAGAGAGAGAGAGAGAGAGAGAGAGAGAGAGAGAGAGAGAGAGAGAGAGAGAGAAAGATTGAGTAATTGTACACTCTATCCATCAAGTAATTGCAGGCGGATTCATGCCTGAGTTTTGACACAAAAAAGCTCCGGAAGAGGCATTTTCCAGTCTTTTCCTCACACATGTTCATCATATGAGAGAGAGAGAGAGACAGACAGACAGAGAGAGAGACAGAGAGAGAGACAAAGAGAGAGAGAGAGAGAGAGAGAGAGAGAGAGAGAGAGAGAGAGAGAGAGAGAGAGAGAGAGAGAGAGAGAGAGAGAG